TTGGTGCTTCTCTTTCTGGCTTACTTCACTCTGTATAATAGGCTCCAGTTTCATCCACCTCACTAGAACTGACTCAAATGCCGTCTTTTTTAACAGCTGAGTAATATCCCACTGTGTAGATGTACCACAACTTCCTTCTCCATTCATCTGCCGACGGACATCTAGGTTGCTTCCATGTCCTAGCTATTGTAAACAGCGCTGCAGTGAACACTGGTGTACACGTGTCTCTTTCAATTCATTCCAGTGTTCTTGCTTGGGAAATCCCATGGACAGAGGAATCTGATGGGCTACAATTCATGGGGTCAGAACAACTCAGACACAACTGAGCACATATGCACACACTCCCATCTAAACACCATGTAAGTCAGCTCAGTCATGTCCGACTCATGGCGACCCCATGGACTGTAGTCCACCAGGCTCTTCTGTCCATGGAATTCTCCAGGCAAGAATACTGGAGTGACCACTTAAGTGAGCAAATAAAAACATTTCCGGAAAATGCCTTGATGAGGTATCGTCCGTACTGTCTGCAGCCCCCAGAGAGGTGTCCTTGCTCTTCTTGCTCAGCAGGGAGGTGAGGGCTCCCCTCTGAGGACCCCCTACTACTCTGGAGCAGAGGAGGGGAGGGCAGGAAGCACAGTCCCCAGTGGTCTGTATCAGCCCCGGCTGGTGGGCTGGGCAGTGGGGCCAGGCGGCCAGTGTCAACACAGATGGGACCCATTTCCGGATGAACCGGCCTCCTTCACAAACGCTCCCTCTGCACCGGCTGCATGCTAACTAAGGACCAGGCCTTTGATAGCTGCACGGCTCTCAGTGTGAAACGAAACAAGAGCCTGTTGAAAAGCGCAGCCCTTCCCAGAAATGCTTCGTAATGCATATGCATACTTTGGCTTGCTTGAGCCTCCCCAGGAGAGCGAGGGGGCTGGAGGGGCTGTCGAAGGCCCTGCACCCCGCCCTGTGACCTCAAGGGTTGAGAGCACAGGCCCACACTCCCACTGCCTGACCTACAGGCCACACTGAAGGGGTCGCCGGCTCATCCAGGACCCTGGGCTGCAGGCGCATGGACTCTAAGGGCAAAACGGAAATGTGCACTACTCCCTTCCTGTACAGAAGCCCATCAGCGTGACAAGGTGGGCTTTTTGATGTGGCCCTGACCTTGAGCGGTTGTCCCGGCATTTTCTGCCGGGACATGAGGATCACAAAGGAGAGGAACACACACTGTCTTCAGAAGGTTAAAATTTAGTGCAGTGAAGAGAATGTCAAAAAGAGGCACTGCTGATCAATGGGCATAAAGTTTGCAATTACCCCAAATGGATAAATTTTAGAGGTCCACTGGATCCCACCCTCCCCCGTCTTTCACTTCTATCACCTGAGTGTAATTCACCAACTATGGGGCATAGAGGTCCACCTGGTCTCTGCCACATTCTGTTGGGGGGGGCGGGTGGAGCTCACTTAGGTGTCAGCCAACCAGAGGGGAGCGCTGACACCCAAGAGGGCCTCACAAAGCCAGGTGAGGGCCCTCAGTTAGGGGCCTGTCAGGCCTGAAATGGGGGGTGACAGGATGCTAAGCATACTCAGAAAAGCAGCCAATGTGACCCCGCCTGCCTGCCTAGCCTCCAGGAAAAAAGAACATCAAGAGACACTTGATAACGATTGCAAAAAGCGATGTTCAATACTAAAAGGGCTAAAAAGACAGAAAAGGACTCATTTCTCAGAGATCGTAATACACACAGCTGTGATAAAAGGCAGTATTCCTTTGACACATGCTGTAAAAGAGTTGAAAATGCAATTGTGGCTCAAATAAATGAAATAACACCAGGTTGGAGCATCCTAAGTCTTACATTAGAAACAAATCCCCTTTGGTCACTTAAGAGTTGCTCTAAGGATGGTCCCATCTGTTCTGCAGGCAGGCCCACAGCCCCTCAAGGTTTAGCCCCCAGTGCGGTGTGTTCCAGCCTCACCCACGGATGAGCCGCCCGAACCCTATCACTCAGCCACACAGAGGGGCCTGCAGGCTTCAGTCCTTCGGGGTCTTTCTTGGGCTTGTGTTTTAATTTGTGATACGCTCTCTGCCTGGCATAGACTCCTACCCACCACATCTCTACCACCAGCCAAATCTCCTGGAAGTCAACGTGCCAACAGCACATAACCAGCTGGGCAGAAGCCGACTCACCAAAGGCAGCTTACGGAATGACGGGCTCACTCGCTGAGTATCGAATGCCCTGAAAAACTACCAGGAGAATACTTGTGCTGTGGAGCATGAGTTCTAGGGCACAAGGGCTTCAGTAGTTGTTGCTCTCAGGCTCTTAGAGCACAGGCTCAGTAGTCATGGCTCCCAGGTTCTAGAGCACAGGCTCAGTAGTCGTGGCTCCCAGGTTCTAGAGCACAGGCTCAGTAGTCGTGGCTCCCAGGTTCTAGAGCACAGGCTCAGTAGTCGTGGCTCCCAGGTTCTAGAGCACAGGCTCAGTAGTCGTGGCTCCCAGGTTCTAGAGCACAGGCTCAGTAGTTGTGGCTCCCAGGTTCTAGAGCACAGGCTCAGTAGTCGTGGCTCCTGGGCTCTAGGGTACAGGCTCAGTAGTCGTGGCTCCCAGGTTCTAGAGCACAGGCTCATAGTCGTGGTTCCTGACTCTAGAGCACAGGCTCAGTAGTCATGGCTCCCAGGTTCTAGAGCACAGACTCAGTAGTCGTGGTTCCTGACTCTAGAGCACAGGCTCAGTAGTCATGGCTCCCAGGTTCTAGAGCACAGGCTCAGTAGTCTGGTTCCCGGGCTCTGGAACGCAGGCTCAGGAGTCACAGCACACGGGCTTAGTTGCTTTTCAGCACGTGGGATCTTCCCAGACCAGGGATGGAACCCACGTCTCCTGCACTGGCAGGCAGATTCCTTACCACTGAGCCACCAGGGAAGCCCAGAATGCTCATTTTAACAAGTTCCCCAAAATTCTAAGAAGCACTGCCCTACATAGGAACACCCGGCTCTCGCACAGGGCGTAACAGATGCAAGGTAGATAGTCCCAGCACGTGAGGCACAGTGCCGCTTTTCAGTCTCACAACACCTCAGTAAGTACTATTCAGTTCAGTCCAGGTCAGTCGCTCAGTCGTGCCTGACTCTTTGCAACCCCTGGACTGCAGTGCAGCAGGCTTCCCTGTCCATCACCAACTCCCAGAGCTTGCTCAAATTCATGTCCATCGAGTCGGTGATGTCGTTAGCACACTCGTTTCAGAATGAGGCATCTCAGACAGAGATGTGAAAGCTACAGTCTGAACCCACACAGTGAGTGTCAGAGCTGGTGCCTGGAAGCAGGCAGCCACTCCCAACTGCACCCTGGACCCTGCTGCCTCCCCAGCACCCAATGCAGAAACAGGCTCGTAGTTCCTGACAAAACCTTTTCTCCCGGCTGTGAATGCTTGTGAGTGCTCACGTCAGTTTTGCTGCCTTACCCCCACAAATACTGACAGTACTGTTGGGAAAAGACTGGATTTGAAATCCAAAGAATAGGCTACAAAAATTTGCTTTTGCCTTTCCCCCTAACCTTGGGCTGCCCCTTTGCCAGTGGATCCACATTTCCTTTTCTGTACAGTGGATATACATAGCCTTCACGTGTTCAGAGGTGTTTCAGGGTTCTCTGAGGCCAGGTTGTGAGGATTAAATGAAATTATAAGTGAAAAACGGGCAAGCTTGACCTGTGACAGGTGGTGGGGACCCAGTGAGCACTGAGCTCGTTCATCACTGAGCACCCACAGGACACCAGCCCCGCGCTGGGACCCAGGCAGGGACAAGACAAACAAGCGGCGGCCCTGCCTCCCTGCAGCTCTTCTCCGGGTAGACAGACGATCAGATGATTCATACAGAAAGCAAACATTAGGAAGAGAGTTGCTAAGTAACTGATACTGTTGTAATTTTGAATGACAGCCTAATTTTCCTGAGAAAGCAAATTAGAAAATAGCGAAAGGCAGAAAAAGCTGAGTGGGCCATGAATGGCAAACATGAATATCCCCACATCACAAAAATAGCCAGAGAATTCCAAAACAAATTTTGAATGCAGAAGATCAAATAAAATACACATTCCTGGACTATGTACATATTTTTCTTCTACAGGGAAAAAATAAGGATATTTAATCCCAGAAAGAAGCATAACAATGAATATTAAAGTTTCAGGCTATGGGTATTCAAATTCAGAGCTAACACAGAGAGCGGCATGTCAGTAGACTCTATTGCCATTGTTTTGCTGATAAATCATCTGACTTTTTTTTTTAAATCTGACTTAAGAATAGATTTCCATGGACCTGTAGCTCCAGCAATTTTCAGAGGACCAGCAGCCTCCTATGGGAAGGCCACACCTACAGCCTCCCACTTAACCGTCATTAGCTCCCCAAAACATACTCATATAGGCACACCTTGGGCAAACCAAGGCCTCTTTTCTTGCAGAATCAGGCTTTTATCACCTGCCCTGGAACCAAAAACAACCCAGGTGTCCAGTGATTCTCCTGAACATGGGACTTTTTTTTTTCCATTTTCATTGAAGTACACTTGCTCTGCAATGCTGTTAGTTTCCACTGCACAGCCACGTGCATCAGCCCTGTGTGGGCACACATCCCCTCTTTCTCTGGATCGCCTCCCACTTTAGGTCAGCACAGAGCACAGAGGGGAGTTCCCTGCGCCGTGCAGCTGCTTCTCATCGCTGCCTGCTTTTCACAGAGCAGTGTGCTCACAGCAACGCCAACCTCCCAGTTCATCCCACACCTCCTCCCCCGTGGTGTCCATACGCGTGTTCTCTAAGACTGCATCTCCATTTCTGCTTCATATGTCACACTGTCTATACCAGTGTGGTATACAGACAGCATGGCATATGACTCAGCCATAAAAACGAATGAAACTGGGTCATTTGCAGAGACACAGATGAACTCAGAGTCTGAGAAGTCAGTCAGAAAAAAGGAAAACAGATACTGTATATTAACGCATACATGTGGACTCTGAAAAAGTTGATGGTGGTTCTTGCACTCACCAGCCACGGCTGTGGGATCTCGGGCAAAGGCATCTGGGGAGGGGCCGGCAGGCTGCTGGGGGTCTCCGGCTTCGTGGCATGATCCTTCACTTCCAAACCTGCACCAAAACCACAAATCAGGATGAGGAAGGCTTGCTCCTTGGAAGACAAGCTGTGACCAGTCTAGACAGAATATTATTAATAAGCACAGACACTTTGCCAACAAAAGTCCATCTAGTCAAAGCTATGGTTTTTCCAGTAGTCATGTATGGATGTGAAAGAAAGTAAAAGTCATTCAGTTGTGTCTGACTCTTTGCGACCCCACGGACTATACAGTCCACGGAATTCTCCAGCCCAGGATACATGGGTAGCCGTTCCCTTCTCCAAGGGGTCTTCCCAACCCAGGGATGGAACCCAGGTCTCCCACATTGCAGGCAGATTCTTTACCAGCTGAGCCACCAGGGAAGCCCAGGAATACTGCAGTGGGGAGCCTGTCCCTTCTCCAGCGGATCTTCTCGACCCAGGAATCCCACATGTCATAAACGGCCTCGTAGGCAGCCTGAGGGGCCTGGGGTTCACCCACGGGCAATCAGGTAGTGAAAGGATCCAGACAGGGAAGCAGCAGCATCACTTGAAAGCAAGCTTTCATCCCTACTTTTGTCTCTCTCTCTCTGGGCTTCCCAGGTGGCTCAGTGGCAAAGAATCCACCTGCAAATGCAGGAGATACAGGAGACACGGATTTGATCCCTGCATCAGGAAGCTCCCCTGCAGGAGGGAACGACAATCCACTCCAGTGTTTTTGCCTGGGAAAACCCACAGACAGAGGAGCCTGGCAGGTTATATAGTCCACGGGGCCACAAAGAGTTGGGCATGACTGAGCACATAGAGTTCTCTCTCCATCCGACTGGTTCTTTCGATCTGACTGACCCCAAAACACCATCCTCATCCTGCACTTCTGTCTTGGGGACTCAAGCAGCTCTCATCCCACCTGGTCCCAAATCCTTGAACCCACCCCCCAGACTGACCAGAACTTTCTGGAATGCCAATCTAACTTTGTCAAATCATAGCTTTGCATACTAAAAAGCAAAGAACTGCACATTCAGATGGCTGAAGTGCACGGCATGGGAAGTATGTCTCAGTGAAGCTGTTTACAATAAACCTCTACATCTCATCCAGTTGTCTCCTGCCTTCAAGATTCTAACCCCGTATCCTCCAGGAACTGCCCCCGGCCCCTACCCCACTCACTCTCTCTCACTGAGCGGGTCTGGGGGCATCCTCCTCTTGGGCACTCTCCTAACACTGACGCTCTCTCCCCACTACTCTGTCTTACCCACCGTGCCCAAAGGAAGGACACAATAGGCCTGAGTCTGCTGTCTTCACCGGGGCCTGCGGGCAAGGCTGTGCCCCTGGATGGCATTGGGGAACGTGAATTTCAGAAGTGTTTCCAACATTCCTTAATTGATATGGTTGGTCTAACGGTGCCTAGCCTAAACTGTTTGAGCAAACAACACAATCAATGCCAAACACCTGCTGCGATGGCTAATTTTGTGCTCCAACCTGACTGGGCTCAGGGATGCTCAGAGAGCTGGCAGAACGCTATCTCTGGATGCTTCTGTGAGTATGTTTCTGGGAGAGATGAGCATTGAGTCAGAGAACGGAGCAAAGAGGATGGTCCTCCCCAGTGTGAGTGGACATCCTCCAGTGTGCTGAGGTCCCGAATACAACAGAAAGGCCGAGGAAGGGTGGACACACTCTCTGGGCTGGAGCCAAGACATCCGTCTTCTCCTGCCTTCAGACACTGGTGCCCCTGGTTCTCTGATCAGGACGCGCACCGACAGCAACCGTCCTCCCCCACCGCCCGTTCTCAGACCTTCAGACTCAGACCGAATTACAGTCTGGTAATTACACCACCGGCTTTCCTGGGCCTCAAGCCTGCAGAGGGCAGGTCGTGTCACTGCTCAGCCTCCTGAGACCACACAAGCCAATCCTTATCAGAAATCTCCTCTCCACCTCATTCTGTAGCTCTGTGGGTCTGTTCCTCTGGGGAACCCTGACCAACAAACCTCCTTTCCTGTGAGTCTGGGATTTGGGTATGTGCCAGGCAGAGGGTGCCTATGTGACCAGCCCCCAGGAAAGTCCTTGGGCGCTGAGTCTCCAGTGAGCTTCCCTGAATAGAAACAAGGCACACGGGTGGCTGCATTTTTGTCACTGAGCAGTATGATCTGTGTGAGCCTCGTGAGAGGAGGAAAACGAGGAAGCCTGTACGTGGAAACCTCCAGACTCAGCTGGAGTCTTTTTCCTTTATAACCTGTCTGTGTGTCCTTACAACCTCTGTGATGAATCCCAGCCATCAGAAAATACAACTCCATGCTGAGTGCCAGCAAATCTCCCAATGTTGGGGTGCTCTTAGAGACCCCCAACGAATCCACTATTTCATTAACTCCTTAAAGGCTTTATTTTTCTAAACCCAGAGACTCATACAGTCCCTGGCACATAGTAAGGCCTTCAATGACAACTTGAGGAGTAAATGACTTCATTCATGAATGTGTTCTGGAAAGATGTGAATTAAAGATGGCTTAGAGACAAAAAAGTGGTACTAGTGTTAAAGAACCCACTTGCCAATGCAGGAGACGTAAGAGACGAGGGTTTGATCCCTGGGTTGGGAAGATCCCCTGGAGAAGGAAATGACAAGCCACTCCAGTATCCTTGCCTGGGAAATCCCATGGACAGAGGAACCTGGTGCGTAACAGTCCACGGGGTTGCAAAGAGTCGGTCACGATTGAAGCGACTCAGCACTTGAGGCCAAAAGAGACTGGTAGAAACCAGAGTAGAAGCTGAGACAGGCGTACCTTTGGTTGACTGTATCCTCAGCAGGATGTCTGTGATGACTGCCTTCTTCTCCCTGACAGTTGAGGTGAGATACTCGTGGTCCAGGAGTTCAAGAAAGAGACGAAGTTCAACTATTAACTCTTCCATTGCTAAAAATAAAGGAGAGGAGAAGGGTACCGTGAGACCTGTCGATTTACAAATGTCAAAATATGAGTGCAGAGTTTTACTCAAAGCACTCTAGGTTTAGCTTGATGGATGACTCTGGTTTTCCAACATGAAAAGCACGTGAGCTGAACAGCAGGTCATCTCAGAGGCTCATGCATCTTCTTCTAGACCGATGTGCTCCTCAGTCGCTCCCTGCTCTGAGGCGATGGTATTCAGCTGGGAGGAGCTCCAAAGCCACGCTGCCAAAGATGGAGTCACGACTCAAGAGTCTGACACCATCATTTGGTGTTAAATGTATGATATTAAATTTCAGTGTCCAGAAGGATAGATGGGAGTTTAAAATGCCAAATAGTTTTCAGATAACCACTAGGACGTGGTTCAGAAACTCAACATCCAACCCTGTCCTTCTGCAGGGCTGCTCCCTCCCCAGGAAGGCTGAGCGCATTTACAGTTACAACAAGGGTGCCAGGGAGGACCTCGATGTCAGCTCAAGTCCTGACTTCCGTCATGCCTTTCATTTCGAGGGTTAAAGCAGATTCTCCCTCTGACTCCCACAGGACAGGACCACAGGGCTGACGTCAGCGAGCTTCACCCCACGATGTGCACCTCTGAGAGACACCAACGCTCTTTCAGGGCATCCACGAGGTCAAACTATTTTCACGACACTGTGTCATCATTCATTATTCTCTGCACTAATGGTGCAAATGAAAGGGAGGTCAAGCTATCGGCATCTTAGTGCAAATCAAAGCAGTGACACCCAACTGGACTCTTGGTCACTATATTCTTCACTTACACACTAGCGGTAAAAATAAATAAAGAAAATTTATAGAGTGCTACTTTCACTTAAGAGCACCTTTGATGAAGCAGTAAAAATCATTACTTTTATTAGATCTCAGCTCTGGAGGAAACCTTTTTAACATGCTGTGTGGTGAAGCAGGAAGAACGCATGACAAGTGTCTGAGCCATGACTTACAGGGAGCCACCGTCTTCATGCAGAAGAAGAAATGAAAGACAAACCACAATTACCCAGACCTGAGAATGTGACCAACATTTCCTCAAAAATGAACAAACCTCATCACGTCCAGGTAAACAAAGACAGCATTTTTTGCCAAGGATACAATTTGCACTTCCAGGTGAAAATAAGAATTTCAAACACATGCATCCACCACTAGGAGCATGATGGCCTCTCAACAGAGACTTTTCCAGTGAGGTTGGGAATGACGCCGAGGAATGTGATCTCCTGGTGTATAATGCAGTGTATCCACATTCGGAAGATCTACACAACTTAGGAAACTATGATGTCATAAAATCACATGTCGGTAAAGATCCAAGTAATGTGCAGAATAAGCTGAAAACATCGTCATGTAACAGAGAAAACATCACCGACTCAATGGACATCAGTCTGAGCAAACTCGGGGAGATGGTGAAGAACAGGGAAGCCTGGTGGGCTGCAGTCTACGGGGTCTCAAGAGGTCGGACATGACTTAACGACTGAACAGCAATAACCGAGAGTAGGTGCTCTCTGACACAGCATCAGAGACCACATTGCCACTAACCATTAAGAAACTACCACTTGCTGAGTTTCAATGTAGGGTCAAAGAATATCCACAATTTTATGGAAAGGCACTAAAATATTCTGCTGTTTTCCGAGTACATATCTGTGTGAGGCCAGACTATCTTTATGTACTTCCACCAAAACAATGGTTCATAATAATCAAAATGCAGAAACAGACACAAGAAACCAGCTTTCTTCTATTAAGCCAGGTACTGAAGATTCCTGCAGAAACATAAACAATGCTACTCTCTCGCACACTATAGCACTTCAGTAAATGCAGCTACTTTGCATAAATATATTAATAAATATCTCAAAAAGCTTCCAGACTTAAATTCTAATATGATAAATATCCACAGATATAACCACACCAATAAAAAGTTCTTCTGGATTCTCGACATATATTTTGAAACCAAAAAGTCCTAAGCAAAAAAGTTCAAGAACCACTTGTCAATGGGATTCTTCCCAAATCTACTGAGGTCTACAACACCCTCCAGAAAAAAAGATCCCAACTGAGGCCACTCTTTTTATAACTACTAAAGTTCCCACAATTTTAGATAAGTGGGCAGGGAAATGGCAAATGAGTTCAGAGCAAAGGTGTGTCCTAGGTGGCTCACTTTTCCTGATTTCCCCTCCATGCAATGAAGAGGACGGAGGAAGCTAGTCTTTATGGTCTTTTCCATCAGGAAGACAATTTCCTGATGATTCTAAGTAGAAAACAATCTCATCTATACCTCAGAAATGAAGGGCTGCTAGTATTAATCATGATAGCCAAATATGTGGAAACAACCCAAACGTCCTTCAGTGGGTGAGCGGATAAATAAAATGTGGTCCATTCTTACCATGACAAATGATGATTCAGCCTGAAAAATAAAGGAAGGTCTGACACATGCTACACCATGGGTGAACTCTGAGGACATTATGCCAAGTGAGATAAGCCATTCGCGAAAGGACAAGTGCTGCACGATCCCACTTATGTGAGGTCCCCAGAGCCATCAAACTCATGTTGTTGTTGTTTAGTTGCTAAGTCGTGTCTGACTCTTTGCGACCCCATGGACTGTAGCCCGCCAGGCTCCTCTGTCCATGGGATTTCCCAGGAAAGAATACTGGAGTGGGTTGCCATGCCCTCCTCCAGGGGATCTTCCTGACCCAGGGATCGAACCCACATCTCCTGTGTCTCCTACACTGCAGGCGGATTCCTTACCACCGAGCCGCCAGGAAAGCAGCACAGTGGTGGGTGCCAGGTGCTGAGGGATGGGGAGCGAGAGTCAGTGCTGATGGGCACAGAGTTGCAGCTGGGCAAGACGAAAGTGCTGGTGACGGATGGTGCTCACGCTTGCACAATTGTGAATGCATGTAATGACACTGAATTATATACTCAAAAAGGCTTAAAATGGGAAAATTTACACTACATGTGTTGTTCAGTCACTAAGTCATGTCCAGCTCTTTGCGACCCCGTGGACTGCAGCACACCAGGCTTCCCTGTCCATCACAAATTCCCAGAGCTTACTCAAACCCATGTCCATTGAGTCGGTGATGCCATCCAACCATCTCATCCTCTGTCATCCCCTTCTCCTCCTGCCGTCAATCTTTCCCAGCATCAGGGTCTTTTCTGTTGAGTCAGCTCTTCACATTAGGTAGGCAAAGTATCTGTTTATTTTACCACAATACAAACAAAATCAACCTTGCCCAGAAATTGAAGGACTGCCAATAGCTATAAGTAAAAAACGTTAAAAATGTTTATGGGTCTGTTACGCTTGCAGGACCCACTCTTCATCACTGTATACTCCTTTATCAAAAATGCCTCTCTCACATTTGCCAGATCATCTTTATCCTGAAATTCTTCCCTGGGGTTTCGTCTAGCGGCATCTAAATATCTGAAGAGGACTAAAGACAGCACGTGCCCTAACCCATCTCCCTGTGCTGCCTTCACAGAGCTCTCCTCGGGGATCCACTGCAGGGTTGGGGGTTTCCTGGAATCACCACTGGGATCCTGCCCAGTCCATGCCCTGCAGAGAACAGCGTCCTCAACTACAAGCTAGACTCTGAACAGCGGCATCTACACACCGGGCCCGGCAGGCCAGCCCCCAGCCCCGCTTCCAGGTCATAAGAGCTGGACTGCCCTAGCTCAGGCTGGTCAGCCTTCCCTCTGTACATGTCGCCCGGGACCCGAACTCTTAGCCAGCTGCAATCTCTGGAACTGAAGACGTGTGAACTCAGGAGCTAAGGAGCTGCCATGCTTAGGCACCTACGTGCCGGGCGGTGAAAGTCACTGACAGAGGAAGAAAGCATGAAGTTACACCCTCGAGAGGACATGCAGATACTCAGAGGCAAGAGAGAGGACGCGCCAGGCAGACAGGGTACAGGATGGATTCCTGAGACCGTCTTGGAATTTTTTCAGTTACCTGTGAGCCTGGACTGCACCTGAATTGCCTGAGATACGTGCATCCTTGTCATAAATCTTCATTTCATTGTTTACTAAGCTACTGTGTGGTTTTCTTTTCACCTGAAACTGCACCCAAAAGAGTCTCAAAGCAAAGCTCTTTTTCGCACCTCAGAATGCAAAACATTCCCAGATCAGACTAGAAACCATTAGAAAAGTTCCACATATCTAGGATATCCCACAGACTGAACAAACCCCATTTATCCTGAACAGGCCCTTCAAACACCCTCTCCCCTAGCCTTCTCTAATTTAACATCCCCAGCAAGCTCCTCCCAACTCAATCCCTCCCAAGTCACTAAATTCTTTCCTCTCTTACCAGCTGTGCTGATAACCAGGCGCTGACTGATCTTAAGATTTGTTTTTTTTCCTCAAAATAGCTAGTCAGCTGGGTAAGAGCAGGCTCTATGTCCTGCTTAACCCCGAGCACCTGCAGCAGCCTAGCAGTAGAAGCCACGAAGAAAGCACACGAGAACGGCTGCTGGGCGGATGCCTGACAGTAGGAGAAGGAGCGTTTTCTGAGAACCTGTCGCGTGAAAGGCACTGTGCTCGGCGTCTCCGTGGGACACTTTATTCTCACAATGATGCTGTGAGGACTCACTCGGCCGCACAGACAGAGGGACCAGAGGCCAGGACCCACCTGTTCCCCGACACGGCCATCACAGGCATGGGACACTATTCTAGCCCCTTTACATGTATGACTTCATGCAGGCTCCCAACAATCCCAGGAGGCGGAAACTGGTCTCACCCCATCTTACAGGTGAAGAAACCGAGGCTCAGAGGTTGCCTAAGGTTATGAAGCAAATAAGTGTCTGAGCCCCTCCAGGTAACAATATGCTAACAGCCACCCAGCTGGAAGGGAGCAGGACAAGTCTGAATGCAGCTCTGACTACAAAGGCCCTGCTCCGACTGTTTCACGATAATCATGCCATGGGTGACCTTCTGAGACAACCCTGGCCCACTGAGCGGCAGTGGCCATTTAAACAAACA